GATTAAATGTGTATAATACAATGTTAGGTGAAATGTTTTAAAAGTATGTATATATACATGGCATCTTGCCAACATCACCCAGAATAATGCTTTTAAATAATACTAGACAACATATCATCTATTTCTTCTGCCCAGGCAGCCAATGTATCTGTCTAGAGACAAGGAATATAATATCCTCCATGGAACTCTGTGCTTTAGCTTATCTATTTCTTAATCATAAAAGCATTATACTAAAGACTAAACTAGAAGTTAACAGTCAGGGGTTAGGAAGGAGTAAATGTTAAAATGCCTGGAATGAACAGCAATTTTCAGGGTTATAATAACTGAATACTAAAATATTTTATAAACTTTTCACACAGTGTCTTTAAAGTGCACATTTTTAAAATTAACCTTTCACCTAGAAAGTTTCTTCTAACATGTAAAAATAGTCACTCTCGGTTATTATCAAAAAGATGAGATTTAAGTGCTGGCAAGGATGTAGAGAAAAGGGAACCCTCATTCACTATTGGTAAGAATGTAAATCGATACAGCCATGATGGAAAACATTTGAAGGTTCAAGAAATTAGAAATAGAACTACCATATGATCCAGCAATCCCACTTCTGGCTATATATCCAAAGGAAATGAAATCAACATCTCAAAGAGATATCTGCACCCCCATATTCACTGCAACTTTATTCACAATAACCAAGTTATAGAAACAAACTAAGTGTCCATCGATGGATGAATGGATAATGTGTGTGTGTATATATATATACATACATATATATATATATATATGTATGTATATATATATGTATATACACACACCATGGAATATTATCATCCATAAAAAAGAAAGAAATCCTGCCATTTGTGATAACATAGATGAAACTTGAGGTCATTATGCTAAGTGAAATAAGTCAAACAGAGAAAGCAAACACTGTGTGATCTTGCTTATATGTGGAATCTCAAAAAACCAAACTCATAGAAACACAGAGTAGAATGGTGATTGCCAGGGGCTGAAGGTGGGGAAAATGGGGAGATGTTGATCAAAACGTACGAACTTCCAGTTGTAAGATGAATAAGTTCTGGGGATCTAATGTACAGCATGGTGACTCCAGTTAACAATACTGTATTATACACCTCAAAGTTGTTAAGAGAGATCTTAAATGTTCTCACAATCACCACCACAACAAAAAAATGGTAATTATGTAAGGTAATAGATGTATTAACTAACTTTTTTCTGGTAATCATTTTGCAATGTATACGTGTATCAAATTGTCACACTGTACACCTTAAATTTACATGATGTTATATGTCAATTACGTCTCAATAAAGCTGGAAAAAATCATTTAAAAAAAAGACATTTCTGGAAGGGAGTAAAGGCAAGTTTCATATCCTTCGAACAAAGAATTAGCTAACAAAATAAAAGGAAAAAAAATCTAGGATCAAATAGAAGATTTAAATCCACTTCTTCGGTGATTTAAATGTTTACTTTTGGGTAAAAAGAAGAATATTCTGTAAGAAATGTAATTAATATTCAAAGACTATCAGAAACACCTAAAGCCTATAGGCTTTAATTAAAAGGAAAAAGTAATAGCTCAAAAGATGAAGTTTCTTTGATTTGAGGATAAAAAAAGAAAAAGCAAGAGAACGTAAAGTGTCAAAGATGACAGCATTAAAGAAATAAGAAAGAAACAGATATGTGAGTTCTTCATATATTGAAAGAAGGAAGCTAGGAAAGACACCCTTAACAGCAAAATCACTATTCAATTAGATTAAAAAGAATTTGGGGCATGTTTTACATATCCAAATAAGGATAGTTCAAAGATCTTACTGTTTGGGCTAAGAGTCTTATAACTGGTAGAATTCCCTCCACCCCAGTCAAGATTTCTTTTTAATCTAATGACAAGACAAGTTCATGTTAAATATGCCAATAGTATATATAAAACTGGCTGGCTACTTACCCTATCATAACCAGATTTTACAAATGCCATCTCTACCTTAAAATTTTAATTGTAGGCAGAAATCACTGCTGAATTCTGTTTAATGCACTTTTGTTTACATACCCTAATTTGCCCTTTTAAAACTAAGGCATTTTCAAGGATTCAGTACATTAGAATTTCATAATTTATATATTTTATTGAACTCAAATTAGACTGCCATATTAGACAGAACTAGGCATATGATGTTTGTTATAATAAAAACAGAATTATGAATTTCTATGATTGCTTCACATCTAAACTAATCACTTCAAACCGATTCAAGGTAAAAGATCTAAAAATCAAATCCTAGTTCTAGGTCTCAAAATTCAACACTCCGAAAGGAATTACAATACCACTAGCTTGAATATCTTATTAAAACAATGTGATACAGTTAAGATAAAAACATATCTGCAGGAACCTCAAAAAAATAGAAACCTCATTGTCTAATTTACTTACGCTATGATCAGAATAACTTCTCCAAATGAAGTATTTGGCAATTTATATTACTAATCTAGTTCAATGAAGCTATGCAAAAGGTAGCAAAATTGGAAGAATCATTTTTGCCTATGTCTTTTATGCCAACTATCTCCTCAACAATAATAGCTCACTAGCAGTCATCTGCCATATGTATGTCAAAATATAATTAAATCAACATCTTTCCTTTACTTAAAAACCTCAATCTAAACTGGAATAGTCAGGATGACAGATCATGATTTCAAAAAACATTAATACCAAAGTTGTCTCTTTACTATTTTCCTGCATTTACTCAATGCACAGTCCTATATTTTGAAATCCTGTTAGTGAGACAGTAGTCAAATATTATCTTAATTCTTACGATCAGGATAAAGAAGGTGGAGAGACAACTAATGTCTTAGTGTAATCAAAAACGTCCAGCAAAAATTGTCAGGTGACAAGAGGATAATGTGAAAAACAGTGCAAACATTTGGAGAAGTAACCTCCAAAATAATTTTAACACTTCCTGTCTCTGAAAGCTAGAAGGAAGATAAAAACCCTCAAAAGATATGGGTTAAAATGACATAAGTGGAGTTTTTTTGGTGGGGGCAGGAGATGATTTAGCTTTCTTGACATATTCTTTTCACTTGAGAACAATCTCATAAACGTTAATTAAAGAAGGAAAACTTAAAACTACTCAACATATCAAAGAATAAGAAGCAACTAATCTGGTTACTTCAGCTTTAAAAATCTAGGTTGCCAACATCTCTACAACCAGATAAACACCCAGTAAATATAATTACTACTGTTTTTAAAATCTGTGACTCAACTTAAGTGCAGAAAACAATTAAATTCCTGTTAAAATGACCATAATTTTCTACTCAGTTTGTCTTTAACCAAAATATTTGTTCACAGACTATATTGAGAATGATTTGACAAGGAAAAGATGAGGATAAAATTTACTAAATACTATCTGTTCTCAATGAGACAACTCAAATTTTCAATATGGAACTAATATTATTAGTTATTCCACTTTCTTTAACTTTTGGGCTTTTTGAAGCAAACTGTCTTACCCAATTACATACTTTCAAATTTTTCAATTAATAAAAATCTTTACAAGGAAACAATTTTAAAATCACCAAAAAGCCAAAGGACAAGATGTTCAAGATTTTAGACAGTATCTAAGAAAGAACACAATCAGGGAATGGCTTTGTCAAGGTGGGCAAAGTTCAGAATGGCAGAATTCCTTCCCTGTTGGAATGAATATACTAAAACTGCCGGTGGTTTGGTGGCTATCACTGGGTGCAGTAGTAAAATAGAAGGGAAAAGCCTGGCACAGAAAGCTGAATGGCCCAAAGAAAACCTAAGTGGTGACAAGAGCCTAAAGGCACATGCAGGTACGCATCTTTTATATTGGATGTGATACACTTACATGGCCCCTGTTGAATCTCTTGGGGACCAACAGTAAAGCAAGTTTAGAACTTCAAATCTTGAGACATCTATAGCAAGATGCTGATCCAATGTGGCTCCAAATATCTTCTGTTTTCCTGGCTCACCTGAAGAGGAAAAAACACTACAGAGGATGTGGGAACTGAATTTCTTTATGTAGTTTCTTCTAGAGCAACTGTCTGAAAGTTTTGGCCCAATCCTTTTTGAAGTCTGGAGATGAGACACTTGAGGGACTAGTGAAAAACAAAATTCAAATGAAAAGGTGGAGTGAGACATCTAAAAGGGGAATACGAGAGCAAAAGATACTGGTCGTAGGTAAATCAGTGTTTCTAATCCTTAAGTGGGAGGAGGCAGAGAAAGGAGAGAAAAAATGCACCGATGTTTCTCCCTCCACTCCCTCACCCCAATTGCTACTAAAATTTCACAAAGTACCTAAACTTTTTGACCGCAATTAGGGAGTGAGTGAGCAAGACTACTTGGAAAGTTTAAGTGTTTTGTCAAGTCTCCCTCCCCTGGCTAAGCGGCATTATTAAGCAGCAGGGAGGCCTTTCAGATAATACTTTTTTTCCTAAGAAAAGATTCTGGTGGAATACAGCTTGAAACAATAAAGGAAGAGAAAAATAAATGCAATTTATACAAAAATGGAAGTCACAGGACAATATACCATATTGACAAAGTTTATTTACTTCTGTTTTTCCAAAGGGGAGGGACTGCTTTCTTGTAATAAGAAATCAGAACAAAAAGTAGTTTCCAAATAATAGAAAATATTTTTAAACTAAGCAACACAAACTGCATGCTTCATCCCCTTAGGAAATATTATCCCTGGAAAGATAAACTTTAAAAAACTAAGAAGAGCAGAACCAAGTCTGATGTACATTACCACACAAAAGCATAAAAGTGGAGTCCATAAAATTAATTTTAGATTTTTTAATTAACTTAATTGTTTTCTTAAAACATTTTACCTAAATGTTGTCTTATCAGAGTCATTCTCCAGCATTCATGTAATAACCTAGGATATAAAACAATTTTCTTTCCAAATATATTCCATTTTAACCAGTTTACTTGAACTATATCTGGTAAAGATACCAGAATTTTCTGAAAAATAAGATTGGAGAACCAATTAGATCCTTACCTGACGTGGCTGTTCATTCATTCGTTGTGGATCTGATTTCACTTTATTACTAGGATGATTTGTGACTTTGGTTACCGGTTGTTTGAAAATTGATGCTGTTTGTCTAATTGGCAATGTTGTATTCAAGTCTGGCTTACCCTGTGGATATAAGTGTGTTTTAATTAATAAATATTATATATAAATACAATTAGATGAATTTTTATTAATTCAATATGTATTACTTTAACTTGGATAATTCCAAACTTCTCAATCTCAGCATTTTAAATACTCTGAAGTACACTTTAATCACTTTATTATGTAAGACTTATGCAAAGTTTTCTCATAATAAAAAGCTTTCTGTATTCTTTTAAATGTAAGAAAATTCTCTATGTTAAAATTCATAATTAATTTGATTAGCAAGATACTAGGAACTTTTAGGTGAACAAATATGTTTAAGGTTAGGTTACACAAAAGGAAGGAGGGTTTTCAGGACAATAATCGGAAAGCAGTCATTTCTACATTCTGAGAATGGAGGAAACTAATAGCGCACTTGGCCATTAAAATAACTTCATGAGCTGTCAGGGGGCCAAGCTTACATAAAACCACAAACGTTAACCTTCCCTTTTATATTAGAAAAACAGATAATTAGAAATGAAAGTTGTAATTCCACAAACAGAGCTCAATTTAGAAAAATGTAATAAAATAAGGAAATATTCTTTATCTTTAATATTTTATAGCACATTTAATGCTTTTTAAAAAAACTTAAAATTGAAGTTTCAGAAGGGCAAGCAACATACTTATATATTTTTAATCAACCAGTAAAAAAATTAAGTTATGTTCTAATGAAAAGTAAATGTGGCACAGAATTGCTATTAAGCTCATTTGAAATACTATAACACCAGGTGGGGGCAGAGGTGTGGAAAAAGAGGAAGAAAAAGAACAAAATGTGATTTAATCACTGTGTATTCTGAGTCTGGCAAAAACCATAAAGGCTCAAATACACCTGAAAGCAATACACATCAGATAATTTTAGGATAGAAGAGTATACTCGATAAATCATCTACAGGATATTCAATGAACTTTTATCTTTATAACTATCTCCAAATAAAAATTATATCAACTTTGAGACTCCAGAACAGCAGTTCTCAACCTTAAGCATGCATCAGAGTCACCCAGAGTGCTGATTAAAGCACAGATTATTGGGCCACACTCCCAGAAATTCTGATTCAGGAGGTCTGAGGTAGGACCTGGGAAACCGCATTTCTATTAAGGTCCAGGTGATGGTGATGCTGATCCAGGGACCACCACACTTGGACAACTACTGCTCTAAAACAAAGACTGAGAGTTGGTGGCGGGGAGACCAGGTCTAACCCATAGATGTGTTTTGTTCAGTTCTTAGTTTCTTTAGTAAATTAAGCCAACATCTACAAATAAAATTCACATAAAATGCAGAATTCTGGGCTGCTTAAAGGAGCTCCAGAGACGGGTGCGAGCGGCGGCTAACAGCGCAGCCCCCCGAGACAGGCATGAGACGCTAAGGGTGCTCCTGCTGCCACCAACAAGCCTGGGTGGGAGCACAGGTCACTATCCACACCCCCTTCCGGGGAGCCTGTGCATCCCGCCACTGCCAGGGTCTCAGGACCCAGCGACAACTTCCCCAGGAGAGCGCACGGCGCGCCTCAGGCTGGTGCAACATCATGCTGGCCTCTGCCGCCGCAGACTCGGCCCGCATCAATACCCCTCCCTCCCCGCGGCCTGAGTGAGCCAGAGCCCCCGAATCAGCGGCTCCTTTAACCCTGTCCTGTCTGAGCGAAGAACAGACGCCCTCAGGCGACCTACACGCAGAGGCGGGGCCAAATCCAAAGCTGAGCCCCGGGAGCTGTGCGAACAAAGAAGAGAAAGGGAAATCTCTCCCAGCAGCCTCAGAAGCAGCGGATTAAAGCTCCACAATCAACTTGATGTACCTGCATCTGTGGAATACATGAATAGACAACGAATCATCCCAAATTGAGGAGGTGGACATTGAGAGCAAGATTTATTATTTTTTCCCATTTTCCTCTTTTTGTGAGTGTGTATGTGTATGCTTCTGTTTGAGATTTTGTCTCTATAGCTCTGCTTTCACCATTTGTCCTAGGGTCCTACCCGTACGTATTTGTTTTTCTTTAAAAAATTTTTTTTTCTTAATAATTTTTTTATTTTAAGAACTTTATTTTATTTTACCTTACTTTTATTTTCTTTTATCCTCTTTCTTTCTACTTTTTCTCCCTTTTATTCTGAGCCGTGTGGATGAAAGTCTCTTGGTGCTGCACCCAGGAGTCAATGCTGTGCCTCTGAGGTGGGAGAGACAACTTCAGAACACTGGTCCACAACAGACCTCCTAGCTCCACGTAATATCAAACGGCAAAAATCTCCCAGAGATCTCCATCTCAACACCAACACCCAGCTTCACTCAACGACCAGCAAGCTACAGTGCTGGACACCCTATGCCAAACAACTAGCAAGACAGGAACACAACCCCACCCATTAGCACAGAGGCTGCCTAAAATCATAATAAGTCCACAGACACCCAAAAACACACCACAAGACGTGGACATGCCCACAAGAAAGACAACATCCAGCCTCATCCACCAGAACACAGGCACTAGTCCCCTACACCATAAAGCCTACACAACCCACGGAACCAACTTTAGCTACTGGGGACAGACACCAAAAACAACGGGAACTACGAGCCTGCAGCCTGCAAAAAGGAGACCCCAAACACAGTAACATAAGCAAAACGAGAAGACAGAAAAACACACAGCAAATGAAAGAGCAAGGCAAAAACCCACCAGACTAACAAATGAAGAGGAAATTGGCAATATACCTGAAAAAGAATTCAGAATAATGATAGTAAAGATGATCCAAAATCTTGGAAATAGAAAGGAGAAAATACAAGAAACGTTTAACAAGGACCTAGAAAAACTAAAGAGGAAAAAAGCAACAATGAACAACACAATAAATGAAATTAAAAACACTCTAGAAGGGATCAATAGCAGAATAACTGAGGCACAAGAACGGATAAGTGACCTGGAAGATAAAGTAGTGGAAATAACTACTGCAGAGCAGAGCAAAGAAAAAAGAATGAAAAGAACTGAGGACAGTCTCAGAAACCTCTGGGACAACATTAAACGTACCAACATTCGAATTATAGGGGTTCCAGAAGAAGAAGAGAAAAAGAAAGGGACTGAGAAAATATTTGAAGAGATTATAGTTGAAAACTTCCCTAATATGGGAAAGGAAATAGTTAATCAAGTCCAGGAAGCACAGAGAATCCCACACAGGATAAATCCAAGGAGAAACACACCAAGACACATATTAATCAAACTGTCAAAAATTAAATACAAAGAAAACATTAAAAGCAGCAAGGGAAAAACAACAAATAACACACAAGGGAATCCCCATAAGGATAACAGCTGATCTTTCAGCAGAAACTCTGCAAGCCAGAAGGGAGTGGCAGGACATATTTCAAGTGATGAAGGAGAGAAACCTACAACCAAGATTATTCTAACCAGCAAGGATCTCATTCAGATTTTATGGAGAAATTAAAGCCTTTACAGACAAGCAAAAGCTAAGAGAATTCAGCAACACCAAACCAGCTTTACAACAAATGTTAAAGGAACTTCTCTAGGCAGGAAACACAAGAGAAGGAAAAGACCTACAATAATAAACCCAAAACAATTCAGAAAACAGGAACATACATATCGATAATTACCTTAAATGTAAATGGATTAAATGCTCCACAAAAAGACACAGATTGGCTGAATGGATACAAAAACAAGACCCATGTATATGCTGTCTACAAGAGACCCACTTCAGACCTAGAGACACATACAGACTGAAAGTGAGGGGATGGAAAAAGATATTCCATGCAAATGAAAACCAAAAGAAAGCTGGAGTAGCAATTCTCGTATCAGACAAAATAGACTTTAAAATAAAGACTATTAGAAGAGACAAAGAAGATCAATCTAGGATTGATCCAAGAAGAAGATTTAACAATTGTAAATATTTATGCACCAAAGGAGCATCTCAATGCATAAGGCAAACACTAACAGCCATAAAAGGGGAAATCAACAGTAACACATTCACAGTAGGGAATTTTAACACCCCATTTCCACCAATGGACAGATCATCCAAAATGAAAATAAATAAGGAAACATAAGCTTTAAATGATACATTAAACAAGATGGACTTAATTGATATTTATAGGACATTCCATCCAAAAACAACAGAATACACATTTTTCTCAAGTGCTCATGGAACATTCTCCAAGATAGATCATATCTTGGGTCACAAATCAAGCCTTGGTAAATTTAAGAAAATTGAAATCTTACCAAGTATCTTTTCTGACCACAACACTATGAGACTAGATATCAATCACAGGAAAAGATCTGTAAAAAATACAAACACATGGAGGCTAAACAATACACTACTTAATAACGAAGTGATCACTGAAGAAATCAAAGAGGAAATCAAAATATACCTAGAAACAAATGACAATGGAGACATGACGACCCAAAACCTATCGGATGCAGCAAAAGCAGTTCTAAGAGGGAAGTTTATAGCAATACAATCCTACCTTAAGAAACACAAAACATCTCGAATAAAAACCTAACCTTGCACCTAAAGCAATTAGAGAAAGAAGAAAAAAAAAAACCTAAAGTTAGCAGAAGGAAAGAAATCATAAAGATCAGATCAGAGATAAATGAAAAAGAAATGAAGGAAACGATAGCAAAGATCAATAAAACTAAAAGCTGGTTCTTTGAGAAGATAAACAAAATTGATAAACCGTTAGCCAGACTCATCAAGAAAAAAGGGAGAAGACTCAAATCAATAGAATCAGAAATGAAAAAGGAGAAGTAACAACTGACACTGCAGAAATACAAAGGATCATGAGAGATTACTACAAGCACCTCTTAGCCAATAAAATGGACAACCTGGAAGAAATGGACAAATTCTTAGAAATGCACAAGCTGCCAAGACTGAATCAGGAAGAAATAGAAAATATAAACAGACAATAACAAGCACTGAAATTGAAACTCTGATTAAAAATCTTCCAGCAAACAAAAGCCCAGGACCAGATGGCTTAACAGGCAAATTTTTTCAAACATTTAGAGAAGAGC